CTCCTGCAGCAGGAAATATTTCCTGATGGCTCAACGTACACGATTCCTCCAAATTCCAACCGGGATCTGCTCCCTCCACGACTTCCCTGGTGGCTACAACCAGTCTCTGATTCCATGAATATACTGGAGCTGACTCCAGAGGCACTGGGAGGATCAGGCCCCACTCCCCAGCTGTGAGAACTACCTGTAACAGGCACCTCAGTTCTGGGATAACTGACATTTCCAAAGCTCCAGCTGATTTTTTTTCCCCCCCAAGATATTAAAAATCCAGCGAGGGATCCCCGAATTTTGCAAGGAGGGAGGGGAGGGATGTCTGAGGGAGCTTCAGCACAATAGGTGCTCTGTAAAAATCTGTTTATTACCCTCAACCAGGCTTACTTTTTCAAGCTAATGAATAGCTAAAACTCTTTAAAAATCACCCTGACAAGTCCAATAACGGTGCCTTGGGAAGATCAAAGATTCCAGAGGAGCAGATGACCCCGTGCTAACTCCCCTTGCAGCCCCGATACGCTCCCATATGTGCAAATATGAGTTTTTCTGGCTGGGATACACTAATAGCTTCCAGCAGCTTTTGGCTGAGGACGCCAATTGTCTCACTGAGGCCTTTCCTTGTCAACAAGTCCCATGATGTGGCTCCAGCCTGAAAAGGGAGCAGCGCAGAGCCGGGAGAAGGGCAGCCCCCAAAGCTGTCGGCGGCGCGCACGTTCCCCACCGGCTCCGGGCGGAATTCCGGCACCGCCCCGCCCCAAAAAAGGGGCTTTTAACGTGTATTTAACATATATTTAACGTGTATTTAACGTGTTTTAATGTGCATCCTGCCTCTTTGTACCTTATATTCTTCAGAGCCCTGCAAAAGCTGCTTGAGCTTGGCGTCCAGCTGCGTGAAGCGCCGGGTTATCCGCTCTATCCGGGCGTGCAAGTCCCTGTACTCGCTGTACTCCGCGTTGAAGTCGTTCTTGTAGCTCTGACGCTGCTCCGAGGAGGAAATGGCCGCGTATTTTCTGCAGGAAAAAGGGGTTTGGGGGGACGGGGTTAGGGGGAGGTCCCTCTTGGTTGATTGGAAAACGAGTTGTGTGTGATTTGGAATTGTGGAATCGTTTTGATGGGATGTCGGGAAGGAATCGTTGGCTGCGAGGGTGGGGAGGCACCGGAATGGTTTTCCCAGAGAAGCTGCGGCTGCCCCGTCCCTGGATGTGCTCCAGGTCAGCCCGGATGGTGCTTGGAGTGACCTGGGATAGGGGAAGGTGTCCCTGGATCCACTTTAAGGTCCCTTCCCACCCCAACCAGGTTCTGGGATTCTGGGATTAAGGTTGGAAAAGCCCTCCGAGCTCAAACCCAACCACTCCCCCGGCACTGCCAAGGCCACCACTAACCCACGTTCCCAAGTGCCACATCCACATGTCTGAACTCCCCTGGGGATGGTGATTCCCTGTGCCAGTGCCCGACCACCTTCCAGCAAAGGAATTTTCCCTCACAGCCAATCTAAACCTCCCCTGGTGCAACCCCGAGGCTGTTTCCTCTCATCCTGATTTTGCACCACAGTAGCAACTGTTGGGAGGCAACTGTCAGGATTATTGCCTTGACCTCCCTGTAAAACAAAACCCCTGTTTTGCTCCCAAAACTTCCTATCTCTGCCAGATAAGTGTGGGATACACAGGTACACAACAGCCTGGGAGCAGCTGTGGGTGGAGGAAGACACTCAGATAGTGCTGCTACAGCTTTTCTAACTCCTGCTGTCCCGCAGAACATGGAGTTCTGCCTCTGTGCCAGGCACTGGAACAGCAGGAATACGATGCTTCCAGTGCTGAGTCTTTAAAGGAACACAAAAAGCATTGAGCCATCGTTGCAAAACGCTCACAGGGGTGATTATGTGGCAAGAGCACGAGGAGAAGCCACGGTGAGGAGCTGGACTTCGTTTCCAGCACCTTCTGGAGACACCCAAGGTTGCTCACGGTGAGCAGATGTGCCTCTGGGGCCCTTCGGAAGTGATTCAGCTCAACAAAAAAAGCCATTAAACCTGACATTTACAGCCCTCTCTGAAGGTAAAAACTCAATTTTTGGGAGGGGATGGCTGTAATTTGCCTCCCTGACTTGGCTGCAGCAGCCCCAGCTCGGTGCTTGAGCAGGTAAAAGGCAATTTAGGCCTCAAATTAAGGGGGAGATTTCACTCTTTTAACCTTTTAAGCACTTTTTAAGTGCTTTAGCCTTCAAGAACTGACTCCTCGCTGCGGGTTGGGATAAAGAAGCATCAACACAGGACAGGAGGTAAGTCCTCTACCAGCACAAAACATTCACCTTCACGATTAAAACAGCTCTTAAAATGTGCCACAGCTCCTGTAATTTAAGGATCTGACCATCAAAACAGTTGGATCCCACCAGAAGGTGAGAGCAGAGAGCTCAGAAACCTCCCACTGATGCTCTGGAGAGGGACTAAGGAGCTGTAATACCCCTTTGTAGGAGGGATCAGCACATCTGGGAAAGAAACCACCCCCCAGCCACCCAAATTCCTCTGAATGGCCCTAAAAGTGTCACCTTGAAGGGGCTGTTTGGGGTTCACACAGCCCAGAAAACCACACAAGAACTCTGTATCTCCTCCAGCCAGCTCCAGGACTTCCTCCTCCATCCCTTCCCTCCCAGTGATCCCAGCTCTGATGGAATCAAACCCCGGGCTGTGACATGCACAGGGAACATCCCCCCCAGCTACACTTCCTCCCCATCCCAGAGCTTTGCCTGGAACAGGTTTTGGGGGTTATGCAGATCCTGGGCTTTGTGCACGGGGTTTTTGGTTTTTTTTTGGAGTGGGTTGTTTCATGAACCTCGAGGGGATCTCATTAAAGAGTCAAACAACTCACATCCCAACCCCAGGGGTTAGAACCTCCCCTGAAAGAATATTTCACTGCTTTATGCTGATGATCTTGGCTCTGGAGAGGGGAAGAATTAGCAAACCTCCCCAAATCCTTCCTCGCCTTGTCTTCCACAACATTAAAGCAGATTATTTCCTCTCCGAGTTTCCAGCTGTAACATGGAGATGTTTAATCCTTTCCAACCCCTCCAAGGTATAAAATGTTTCCTGAACTACTTGAACAGTCAGTTTATAGGAGATAAACCTGAACACTCCACAGGGAGGTAAAAAACTGATTTGATGCCAAGTTAAGTCTCAGGAACTCTGCAAAGCTGGATTCACTCTTTTTTTTTTTTTTTTAAACCCACCTTACAAAGTTCTATCAAATAACATAAAAGTCCAACAAAAACCCCCAGTGCACTGTGATTTTTTTTTTTTAGCTTGAAACACGATCCCAAAGTGACGAAGCAACCCATCAAAAAATACTTACAATAAATAATCTGGCATTTCTGAAGTTGATGTTGGTACACTAGAATTATTGCATGTTCCATTTAAACCTGAAAAAATAAAGGCTTGTTTACAGATGTCCTGAAAACTTCAAAGCTCTTTGCAATTCAACTTCAAAACCTCATGAACTCGCCTGCAACATCCAGTTTATGGAATTCTAAAGGATTTCTGTTTTGCTTGGAACCGACAGAGACACAAGAGCCACAACAAGGTGGTTGAGAGTTCAAGGCTTCTCTACTATTTGTCTGTCAGCAAAACAACCCCAACATCAGCCAGCCCGAAAAAAAAATCTGAATTTAATTGGTGTATAAACATTGCCTGGAGTGGGATAACACTGATAGCACCACTGGGAATGGGAAAAACACGTTCTGAGCCCAGAGAACAGAGCTGAGCAAGGTGAACCTTCTTTTCTCCTGCTCCTACACTTCACAGATTCCCCAGAGGAATATTCCAGGTGCAGATTCCTGATGCTGGCAAATCCAGAGCCCTGCAGGGCACCACACAGAGGTTTACAGGGAATGCAGCTCCCTCCTCACACAAATCCAAGTGCTCCCTGCTCCAGGAAGAGGGTTCAGCATCGATAAGGGCTCAGCTAAGGATGTTCAGGAGCTTCAGGGAGGGGAGCAAAGATTTCAGGAGGAACAGGATTCGGAGGGAGCCTAAACCAGACCCATCCTCAGGGTAAGCCAAGCACTGCAGGGTAAATTTGGAGGGAGAAAGCAAGTGGACCCGGGTTTGAAAAGGGATATTTCTCACAAATTGTGTGTCATACTCCCAAGTCCTCATCAGAGTCAGCAACAACCCAATCAGATCTTTTTAAAAACTGTTTTTTCCCCCCCGAATTTCTACAGAAAGGCTTTCCTGGGCAGAACTAGAGAATGGCACCAACCCAGGGTTTATAAAACCACCCCAGTCTCAAATTCCCACTGCAGATAAATCCTGGTTTTCCCTCCTTCCCTGCCCACAGTGAGGAAGAGGCAGGATGTGGGCTAAGGAAGGTTCAAGGATCGTGGAGGAGAAAGGGAGACAAGGAGGTTTCTTCTGCCTGTGAGTGCCACCTACTGACGCTGAGAGGACCCCAGAGGTCCCTCTGGAAGAAACTTCCCAGGAGAAACTTCCACTCCTAGTGGAGGGTGTCCCTGCCCATGGCAGGGTTGGGATGAGATGAGCTTTGAGGTCCCTCCCGACCCAAATTTTCCATGATTCCATCCAACATTTCCCTTCAGCCCCAGGGGGGGAATTGGGGAAGGAGCAGGACGAGGCACAAAGGCACAGAAGGAAAAGCTCCCAGTGCTGGATGTCCAGGATCCAAGCAGGACTGACCACATCCTGTTTGTGACCGCTCCCGATCCAGCTCGGATTCGTTACCTCCCAAACAGCAGCAGGGACAGAACCCAACTAATTAACAGACACCCAGTCATGAAGCTGTGAGGCCAAGCAGAGAAGGTGGTGAAGGCTCAGCAACTTCAGAATTCGGGGGATTTGGGTATTTATAAGAAACAGGGACAAAAAAATGAAGAGAGGAAAAGTTGTGTGTGCCCACCCAGAACCACCCCAGAGGTACCCAGGGAGGAAAACCCACATGGGAGAAAGCCAACACTCCCAGAAAAAAACTGGGATTGACACCAGAGAAGGTTAAAGTAGAAGAATTATCTAAAAAAGCTGATCCTGCAGTGCAACACAACCATCAGACCCATGGACTGTCCTTAAAATCACTGCTGAGCCACCAAAATGCTTCTGTAGGTGCTAAAAAACGCTGTGGGGAAGGTGAGAGCTGACAGCAGCTCAGCCCCAGGGCCCTGGGAATGGCTCCCTTTCCAGGAATCCAGCAAATTAAGTTTCCATTTCCAAGATACTGTCCTTTTCCTGAGCCAAAATTGGATGGTTTTCATGCACCAGGCACGAAGGGGAACGTGGAAAGCAGGAGCAGGGCAAAGGAAAACGAGATGGATTCAAAAAGAAATTTAAAAGATACTCCCAGAGAGGCTGCAGGGGAAGTCCCAGCGCCCTGGGGAGCTGGGACAAACAGCAGAAAACATGGAAGCAGCAGGAAAGGCAATGGATGGGATTGGTCAAGAGATATTCTCTGCTCTGGCTTCTAAGGGTTCACAGAACTGACTTTGAAACAGTGGTTTAGGGAAAATGTTTTCTGTACGAGATTCACTCTTGTGTCAGTCCTTGAATAAATAAATTCAGAGTCCTAGCAGGATACAAGAGCTTCCAGGCTGGAAGAGCTTCCAGGCTGGAAGAGCTTCCAGGCTGGAAGAGCTGGTTGGATACTGCTTGGACAGCATTTATCACCAGATTTATCTATCACTTCATTTGTATCCAATATTAAAAGGTTTTGTGAGTAACTTTTCATTAAAAAAAAACCCAAACAAAGCCACCACAACCCCCCCCCGAGGAGCTGCTCTTCCCAGCCCTGGCTCCCTGCCTTTCATCCCCACGGATTATCCCGGCTTTTAATTGAACCAGGAGAGAAACATGACACGCTCTGAGGCAGTTCCAGAACAGCACGAAAGGTTAAACAGGAAAAACCTGCCGTCCTCTCTCTGGGGAGGAAGCACCTCTGGTGATCTGGAGGTAGGACAGCGCCGGCATCTCGTCCCCCGCGGTGTCTGGGAGCGGACAGGACGTGCTCCCTCCGTCCTCAAAGGATCCAGAGCGGGATCACACCCGGCCAACACCAAAATTACCTCTCGGCCCGTCCTTACCTGTGACCTGCTCCTGGGGAACACTACCTAAGTCAGCGTTTTTTATTACTTCACAGTTCTGCTTCTCCTCTTTGCACTTCTCCTCGCCCTTCTTCTCCTTCCTCTCCTTCTCCTTGTCTTTGTGCTTTTTGGATTTTTTCTTGGATTTGACGTAGGAGCCGCAGTTGTGTTTGCTGGTCTGGGGACAGTCTGTGGGCGGGGGGTGGCTCAGCCTGTCCGTGGCCTCGCTGCTCTCACAGTCTCTGCCGTTGTGAGCCAGGTCGTTGCTCACATCCGAGAGGGGGTCGTGGGGCCGGGGCAGCTCCAGCACCGGGAGGTTGGAGCTGGAGGAGCTTCCCGACTCCGGGAGCGCCGGCGGCAGGGCGGGGGGGGGGTTGGGGGTGTCCTTCCCGTTGGAGGAGCTCAGCTTCCCGTTGAAGGTGGGTTGGGTTCTGTGAGCCAAATGCGAGATCCTGGGCTTTTTGTTGGCCAGGGGGTCGATGAAGTCCAGAGGCTGGGATCGTTTCTGAGGAGGGAAACAGGGGAAAAAAAGCGGGTGATGGCGAGGGCTGGAGGGTCACCACTAGGTGGTGGTGCAAGACAGGGAAGAAGGGAGTGTATTCCCGGGAAAAGCAGCTGATCCATCCCAAGCTGCTTCCTGACAGCCTTCCGGGAGCCTACAGCTTGGTGGGAGAGCTTAGAGGATCCCACCATCCCGTCAGGAATCACTGATCTCCCACTCTATCCAGACACAGGCCATGCCACCCAGGCCGCTCTCACTGCAGCCTGTTTCAAATCCAGCCCTCTGGAATTCAAACCCCTGTCCCAGCCAATTAGCAGAGACTGGAAACATCCCTGGAAGTGTCCAAGGCCAGGTTGGACAGGGCTTGGAGCAATCTGTGCTAGTGGAAGGTGTCCCTGCCCATGGCAGGGGGTGGCACTGGAGGGGCTTTAAGGTCCCTTCCAACCCAAACCAGCCCAGGATTCCATGATAAAAACACCTGTCCTGGTCATGGCACAACATCCAGAGCACCCCAAATCCCCTGCCAAGGAAAAAAAAAAACGTGCTCAGACCTGCGGGGCAGGGAGGGGGATTCACCAGTTCTGCATTTTCTTCCCTCCCAGCTCTGTGCTCACCAGCTTCATCCCTGCAACCCACTCCTTCCTCTTCTCGAGAGCCAGGCACTGCCCGGAAGAGCTGAGGAAGTGCCAACTGCTCAGTTCTCAGAAGTTCAGGCAAGAAAGGGGACGTTTACAGCACTTCAAAAGCCACGTCACAGGGGCCAACGTGACCCCAGTGATCCCTTTTTTTTTTTTTTGAACAAGTGCAGAGAGGGAAGTTGTTCCCGGCCGTGCCCCTCAGCAGGACGGTCACAGGCAGCCTCTGGAGCAGCTCCACGTGCCCACAGCTCCCTGGAGGCAGTTCTCCAGCCTGGAAAAGCTGCTCCATGGAAGAAGCCATCCATCAGGCAGCAGAACCCAGAGCCAGACCCACGGCTGTCGGGCTCAGCCCAGTGTGTGCCAGCCAAAATCACCCCGGCCAGCCCTCCGTGTGTGCCCACCTGGCAGCTCCAGGGCTCCAGGAACTCTGAGCAGGGATTATTTAGTGCCCAGAGGAAAACAGGCGATAGTTCTGGGTATTTCTTTTGGATAATTCACTATTTTCTTTCTGTCTCAGGCAGGGCTGTGACGTGTTTGCAAATGGAAATGTTGCTCCATCGCAGAGGCGACGGCTCGAGGAGCCCCTAATTCACTCCTTTCCCTCCCTGGTTGTTATTCCTCTTTGCTAACTCAGGGGTCTGCAGGACTCTGCTCCACGCCAGGGATCCTTCCCACCTGTCCAGGTGATTAGGAAGGGGAGCTGCTGGTTCTGCCACTGAGCTCCAGGGGCAAGGCCAGCACGTCCAACCGGCTTTGCAACATCACCTCCCAGAACACAGGGTGTCCATCTCGCAGAGGAGGGGCCACCTCTGACTGCAGCTCTCAGAGCAGATCACTAAAAAACCACCAAACTGCCCTATTTTACCACCCTTTCTCTCAACCCAACAGACACCAGCTTCACCTCCCTGGTTATGAGGTGGATGTGCATCCCACCCCTGCTCGGCCAGGCTCCCTTAGAATTACCAGGCCAATCCTTATTTTTTTTAACATCCTCACTCCACAGCTGAACTTTCCCAAAATGTTCTGCACTCCTGACTACCAAATCCCAGTCCTCTGCTGGCACTGCACCCATTAGCAGCCATCCCTTTCTAAACAGAAACTACAGCTAGAGAGTATTAAAAAAAGTGACAGCTCACAGTGCTGGCTGTGGTTTGGTGTCTGACACAACAGAATCACTACTGGAAACATTTCAATCCCCCATCTGGTTCCCCCTGTTTCACCAGCCTTTTCTAAATCCAAACCAATCAACCACCTCTTCTAAATCCAAACCAATCAACCACCCCAAAAGTTTCAAACTCCAGAGACCCAAACCATCCCCTACAGGCCTCTGAGTCTTCCAAAACAGGGCCAGCCAGAAGCAAGATTGATTTTTCAACCTTATTTTTTTTCCAGAATCAGTCAAAAAACACACAAGCCCAGCCTGTTAACAGCACTGTGTGTTTCCAAGCTAACTTGAAGGTGATCTTTATTCCCCAGGAACATGCCCACAGCAGAGCAGGAGAGGATTTGGAATTAGCTACCTGGCAAACGAGTTACACAGTCCTTGTTCTCAACAGAGAATTGCCTCCCTCTTACTGCCAGAAAGCACATAATTTCTTTACCTGCTAATATTCTTTGCCACTAATCCTCAGTGCGTCTGTCCAGACAAGTAGGAATTACACATTCCACTGGCAGGAGAAGAATAAATACTCAACTTGTCTGGGCTGACCCACAAGTGGAGAGAGAAGGGAAGGAGACATTTCACAATGTGAGAAACGCCTGTGCTGAGAGGATCCTGGGAAAAGTGGGGACAGACTCTGCCTGACACACACACACCAAGCACAGCTCCTTTCTTTCAGAGGGGGGGGTGTTTCTTCTTCTTCTCATGGAAAAAACAGGCAAAATGTTCTTTTCACAGCTGCCATCTCAGAGCAGCCCAGCCTGCCCCTCCTGGATCTGTCAGGGCCATTAGGCCGCAGAAGGTCAAGGGTTTTAATAACTCTGGAGTGTGTTTGGGAGCTGCTTATTAAAGGCTTCGTTCCACTCAGTTATTAGTAACGAGGAAAACACGAGCTCGCCCTCCCAGGAACTCCAGGAGGGATGTGGGCACTGGGGAAAAGAATTCAGCCCTAAAAACTGAACCTGAGACACGCTGGGAGGGATTCTCCCCCCACGGCCAGAGGAGAAACAGATGCTGAGGGAACCCAGGATCAGGCTGGAACTTAATAAAACAGAAATAAAACCCCAACGACCTCCCGACCCACCAGCAGGTGATTATGGGGTGCAGACAGGCAACAGCTCTGCCTGGACACACCTCCAGCAGGCAAATCCATCAGGAGGAGGAGATGGATCCCAGGGATCACCTTGGGATCACCCACCTGAGGGGGAGAGCTGGAGTTCACCGTGTCCTTTGGAGGGCTCAGGGAAGGTGCTTCTCCTTGAAAACCGCTGCTGTTCTGGGGCTGGCAGAGCTTCCTGGAAAACAGGAGGTTGGGGATGGTCAGATCCTGGGCCTTGGCAAGGCAAGAAGGGGAATTTCCCATCTTCCCATGGAGCAAAGAGCCTTTTTTTGGGCTCGGGATGAGATGCCACGGAAGCAGCTCGTTCAGGCACTGCCAGCTTTGATCCCTGACAAAATCCAGGGAGGAGAAACCACTGCAGGAAAACATCAGTGACAAGTGGTAATTCCTTATCTCCTTCCTGCTTTCCCATTCAGTTTGATGATTCTCTGGGAATGGAGGGACCAGCACTGCCAGGGAGGGAGGAGGCAAGGCTGAGCTCTCAGACACAGGAGAGGATTCCCTGCTGAGGATGGAACTGATTTTCCAGCATTTTTTACCTCTTTCCTCTTGAACTCGTGATGTAAGAATGACAACAAATTAATGACGGCCTCAGAAACACGATCCATGTGGAGATGAGTAAAACTGGCATTGAATTTTGAAGTGTAAAGGATATAATAGATCGTTCTTCTGACTGAAATACAGCTCAGTAAGACATTAATTGAACAAATTTCTGCTGAGTTTTTGCTTTACCCAGTTAAAACTGACTTCAGGAGACAACTCAGAAAGCAAAGCTCAGTGAAGAGGGGCTGAAACTCAAGGTCAGATGTTAAGGAATAAGTTCTCCCACTCATCAGCATCATTAAAACAACATTTTGTGGGAACAGCAGTCCTTTCAGCAGCGAGCCCCTCTGGGTCCAGGAAAAACAGGATTACAACAGGAACTGCTGAGGTATTATTGGTCCACTAGGATTTACATTTAGGGCTTCACAATAACACTTTTAAGTTGCATCATGCAAAACAAAGCTACCCTGGGCTGTATCTGTGGCGTTTGACAAATAATAGAAACCTCTTGTAGCAAAAAAAAAAATTACAATTATTATCATTTAAGTGCCTTTAATTCCCCTTCAGGCCAGGTCTCTGCTCCTCCCCAGATCTTGGAGTGCTTTCCCAGCCCACCAGCTTTGCCCAGACTGTCCCTGTACCAATCACTCAGAAAAAAAAACTACTGTTGCATCAAGTTGTAGCTGACAAACTGAAAAAAAATAAAAAAAAAAGGAAGAATTCGGGGTTAAAGGTCTTTAATAAAGTAGCTCTGCAGTCAGTTTGTCACCAGCTGTGGAGCCCAAATAACCCAGGTCTAAATTCTTCCACGAGAAAACCACAGTCAGCATTAAAGCCCATATTTTTTAAACATCAGGAAGATTATTTCAGAGATAACGCCCATGACTTGACAAGATTTTGCTTTTAACCTGAGCTTGAACCTTGGGCTGTGTTGCAGCAATATTTGGACATAATTTAGTCACAGCCAGCCCGGCTTTGTTTAATTTTATTTAGAACAAACTCAGCAGCTCAAGGAAAGTACTTGGGGATTGTGAAAAGGGGAAAGGGACGGTGACATTGCACCAACACCCCGGGGAAAGTGGCTTTTTGGGGGGCTGGGTCATCAGCCTGAGCAACCTGGTCGTGTCTCCTAATTGTTAATTGTGGATTTAAGAAGGGAAGGGAAGACAAATGGGTTCAGTTTTCAGGATCTCTGTAACAGCTGAAGGTTCCATGGAATCCTGGAATGGGTTGGGTTGGAAGGACCTTAAGGCCCATCCAGTGGGAAAAGAACCATCCAGTGGGAAAAGAACCATCCAGTGGGAAAAGGACCATCCAGTGGGAAAAGGACCATCCAGTGGGAAAAGGACCATCCAGTGGGAAAAGGACCATCCAGTGCCACCCCCTGCCGTGGGCAGGGACACCTCCCACCAGCCCAGGTCACTCAGGGTCCCGTTTTACACCCGCGGGAGGGTGGAAAACACGAAAACAGGAGGAAGAACTCAACGAGCAGGGTCGGTCACAGCTCCAACATTTGCAGATGTTCCAATTATTGCAGCTGCTGAACCGTCCAGTGGCCACTGGCCCTGAAAACCAGGAGGACACGGAACAATTGGTTGGCTCCAGGCAACGCCGGCGACGTAAATCCAACGTCTGCCGCTGCCTGTGCCCTTTTCGTGGCTGTTTTTCTCCTGTCTTCAAACCCCACATGTTTTTTTTCCATTTTGGAGCTTCATTACCTGCATGGGCTGAGCGGGGCTTTGTTTGTACAGTTGAATACATCCTTTCCAAGGTCTATTTTTAGACCTCCTCCTAACTGAACGCCACCATTCGAGAGGAGAAAAAAAAAATAAAGCAGCAAAGGTTGCTTTCTATGGGGAGAAATTCGCTTGGTTTTTTTGGAAAGCCATAAAGATTGCATGGCAGTTATAGCTCTCCTTTTAATTATAATTTAACATCAAGGCCACTTAAAGGAGCTTGATTTTACTTCAGCACACCAAAAGCACTCGGAGTGGAACTTTCTGTTGCTGGTTTAGCAAAGTCCCATCTCCAAGTCCACTGTGCTTTTAAATCATGGGAGCTGCTCTGCTTCACCCCAACCAAAAGTGCAATAAAAGAAGGCACAAGTAAAAGCTCTGTCTGCATTACAAAGGCACTGAAAACCCGGAGAGGGAAATATAAACACTCAAGAGAAGAATTCTCCTGGAGAAACCCGGGAGATTTGGGCTCTTTCCCTGCTGCCCTTCCAAGCTTGGAAGGAAAAAATATCTGTAGAGGAAAAATATCTTTAGCAATCAAGGATCAAGTGAGTGTGTTAAGGGCTGTTTTCAGGGAGGAACAGGGGAACAGGTATCCCTTGGACACAGAGGATCAGCAGCAGGACACCCAGAACGTGTTTTAGGGGATTTATCCCTATGGAACTGCCTCTGCTTTTCCATGCATCCCTTCTTCCAGTCAGATCTGAACCCCAGGGATGTGGCTGCCTGGTAACATCTTCTCCTTGCCTTTAAAACACGGGAAGACACGTGCAAGGAGATGTGGGCAAAGGGAAGGAGACTTTCAGTGGAGAGTTGGGCTGGACACGTTTAATCCACTGGAACTTCCCTCTGCCAGCTCTGCTCCCTATCCAGGTTTTCCCCAAGCTTTCAGCAGAGTGGTTTAAAGGCAACCCAGGACCACCTGAAGAGTGGATCCACTTGGATATTCCAGTTTGGTCAACTCCTCCATCTGCCTGATGTTAAAACGAGTCAAACACTCAACTTTCAGCCCTCGGTTACCCTGATTTCCAAGCTCCAGGTGAAATTAGGGAGAACATGGGATAATTACCTAACCAGGATCCTCTTCAGCAACTGCTGGTCTCCTTCTGAGTAGCCAGGCCAGTCCTTCTGCACTTCTTTGTACACACAGTCCTTCAGTGTGAAAGTGCTGTCCTTGGCACTCAAATTTGCCACCTGAAATGGAAGTAACCCGTAAAAACATCATTAGGGTTTAATTTTCTCACTTATTCTAACAAACAAGAGCTAAGACAAAGGCAAAATCTGAGTAGACTTAGCAGTTAGCACTGTCAGAGAACAAGGACTTCAATATTTCACTTCCTAATCATTAAGATTATTTAATCAAACTGTGCCTTTTCCTTCTGCCTTGTCACTGCAATAATTCATAGCGAGTTCCTAAAGCACATCCAGTTTAGTGGGGAAATAAGTCATATCTAAAAAGATTATTCAGCTTGGGCAGCCTGGACCAGCACAACAGCAGTTTATGGGAACACCTGGAAATAAACCCTAATGGGAACAGGCAGTTCTCTTATCACACCTGTGCCACAGCCAAAACAGGGCAGTTCGTGGCTGAGAGAGGAACTCTCGTGGCAATAATTTAGTTAACAATTGCCAGGAGATATTTCCTCGCTGAATGAGCCAGGAAAAGAGGTGACAGAGAGCTGCTTTCTCGGGGAGCAGAGAGGAGAATGCAGATCCAGTGGATTGCACAGAGAACTTTTCCAAGGGTACTTCAGGGCAAGAGCAGAACCTGTGATTTGCAGCCTGGGCACCGCGGGGAGCTCAGCACGCGCTGCCTGACATTTTATCCAGTTCCACCCCGTGGAGTTTCCCCCACAAAGCCCTGCCTGGGTAGGAAACACTGCTGGAACAGGCAGGGTTGGGTTAGGATGGAAACAACTGGTTCAGAGTTATCCCACTCGGATCAGTCTTTCCACAGCTCGACTGAAAATTCAGCTTCTCGCTGCTGCTGGTTCCACACGTGAAAAACCCAGCGTTGGAACAAGGCAAAGAGCCCAAATCAGGCCTCAACTGGTAGTGAACCTCTCTCAGGTGATTCACAGAGTCATGGAATGGTTTGGGTTGGAAAGGAACTTAAAGCTCATCTCATTCCATGGGCAGGGACACCTTCCACTAGCCCAGGTTGCTCCAACCTGGCCTTGGACACTCCCAGGGATGGGGCAGCCACAGCTTCTCTAGGAAAACCTGTGCTTGCAGAGCACTGCAAGTTTAAGAAGAAAATAGAGCCTTAAATGTGTGTTTGAGGAGGGACACAGAGGCCCAGGTGCCAAAGGCTCTGCCACAGCCAGGCTGATCCACTGGCCAAGCCAGCAGTTGCATCCCAAAATTCCCTGCCTGAGCCCCTGAGCTTGAGGGACTGAAACTGGGAGATGTTTTTATTCAGTCCATGGAGTCCCTGTGCATCTGCTCTGGGATTACTGTTCTCCAGGGCTCCCTCTGTTCAGGAGATGGCTGTGCTTAGGGATTCCTATTATCCACACAGCAGTAAAATGCCTCAAAAACAAGAGAAGGAGTGGAAAGTCTCGAACGAACTGAAGGTGCTGCTGATTCCTCTGCTTTTGCTTCAGGGAGGCTACGACCAAATGTGAAAAAAAATATTAAAAATCTAGGCAGTTCAAAGCAAAAAAAAAAGCTGCACAAGTAACACAGCAGACTCTCCTGATAAGAGAAAAATAGAAAGCCCAGTTATCAGTTTACACGACCAACACTTTTGTTTTTCCTTTCAGTTCCTGTCAGCCTTCCAAAATCCTGAGCCAAAATACAAGAAGAATTTGAGCCGTGTTTTTACACCGAGGTGTCCCCGTAAACACACCCGAGAGACAAAAGCAAAGCCGGGGTTCCTTTTCCAAGAAGCCTCCCAGAATTTCTCCCGGTTCTCCTGCCTGTTTCTGGAGCCCGGGAAGGAACAACTCGGGGATTTTCCTTCTCTCCACGGAGCCCGAGAGCTGCTGCTACCTCCTTGTTTTTGCTCTTGTGTGGGACTCTGGAAGCTCCACCCCGGCCCTCCCAAAAATAGAAACCTTGCAAAACGAGGCAAAAAGGCCGTCAGGAACACGGAGTCCTGCGAGAGATGCAAGAGGCCCAACGAAACCCACACCTCGATGGATTTAGACGTGTGGAGCTTTAACACAGCCTGTAATTTTTAGCTTATCTGGTGTCTGCTGGTGGATGGGAGGGAGCCCTGGGAGGGCTGAGGGGGATTAACTTTTACGAGCAGCACACGGGTTTCCAGCCAAATCAGCATTTAGGGCGATCCGGGGCCCCGCGGCCGCACGCGCCGCTTCCCCCGCCGGGGCTCCGGGGGAGCATCAGGTCCAGAGGGATCCTCAGGAAGAGAGTTTCTAGTCTGAAAAACCTATTTATAGCAACTCAAAAGGTGCTCCAAAAGAATCCCGGCGCTGCTAGAAAAAAAAATAAAAAAAATAAAATTAAGGGTTCCAGGATTAAACGTCTTAAAGGAAGGAGTGAGTTGTGCCAGCTGGAAACTGCCCGGGTTTAATGGGACCTGCCCTGTGCCCTGGGGGCAAACTGAGTCCTGTCTCAGGGTATTTTCAGCTCTGGAAAGGAGCAGAATGAAAAAAAAAAAAACCGAACAAACATCAGAATATTTTCCAGGATATATTCCAATACAGAAGAGGGCAGCTGCAGCACTTAAATAAATAGCCATGATGCGTTTAAGAAAGCAATAAAGGGATTTACTGCAAGGCCTAAAATGGCACCTTCAACGTGACTCCCAAGTGTTAGGAACTGATTCAGCTTGGAGACAGCTTTCACACTTGACATACAAATAATGTGCTTGGCAAGAAGCTGCATGATCTTCACACCTGACCAGTGGCACTTCCAAGCAGGAAAGGCTCAGAGCAATAAAAAAAAAAAAAAAAAAAAAAGAGAGGGGACATCTTTTCCTTCACGTAGAAAAAAACCACGTACCAACACAGAGGGTTGTTCCCTTTACGTCCACGAGGATAAAAATACAGACATTGACAGGTTATAACAAATCAAGGAAGTTGTAGATCCTCTGTCAGACAATCCTCCCCGTGACCAAGCAGAAGTGTTCCTCTGACAGGACTGATCTGGTGAGCCAAAAATCATCCAGCTTGGTTGCAAACCCCCCTAACCCTGCTATCTCTGCAACAGCACCCCTGAGCTGGGAACTGTGTCACCCACGGCCTTTGGAGACACACTCAGCTGCAGTTTGGAGATAACAGGTTAAGACTGACACGGGAGGGGTTCTGAGAAGACATTTCCCTTTACCTAAAAATCGTTGCCTCCGTCAAAAGAGTACAAACCTGTTGCAGAAGGTTATCCAGCAAATCCTTGTCCTGCTGAGAAAGTCCATCCTTCTGCAATCTGAGAATAAGTTCAGGTTTCTTATAAGGCTTTAGTGCCAGTAAGTGCACAACCCTATCTTTGAAGGGTCTCTGAGAAATGGCACTATTGCCTCTCTTTATTGCACTGGCAAGGTTGACTGGCGTTGGGCGCTTCCTGGAGGGAACAGCATCGGAAGCTCCTGGTGCAGGTTTACGCACCTGAACCTTTTTGCCTAAAATGAGATGAGAATAGTGAACTGCAGCAGCCACCCTTGCAAAAGGCCAGTGGGCTGTCAACAAGGTATAAAAGGAGGTCAGCAGGCCCTCTGAAAGGTGCCACGAGATGACAAGGAAGGACAAAACACAACCAGCACAACCCCCTCTGCTCCGACACGGAACGAGCATCCCAGGAGTTTAACAAGTAAACAGCAACACCAAGCTCTGGAAACCTGAGTGTTATTGGCCACCAGCTCACATAAAGCTCCCTTTGTTTGCCAGCTTTTCATTTATCCCAAGTGCACGTATCCCCACGGTTAATCTAACTATTTTTTTTCACCCCCCCTCCTCCCCTATGAGAAGAAAATTCTGCATTATTATGTAGAAGAGTGGAAATACGGGAGTGGAAAGACCAGAACTGGTCAACGAGCGGCTCCCCGCTGCTGAGCTCAGCAAAAACGCTCCTCCAGCAGATGTTTCTGCTTTTAGAACAATAGGAACTTTATGGGGCTGGGTCCACCTCCCTTCCCCCTCCAAACACGGCCCCATGAATGGGGCTGACACTGGGTCATCAGCCTATTCATCAGGGTGCTGTCTGTGCTCACAGAATAACCCCTTCTGCCCTGGGCTAAGAGCTGCTTCAACCCTCCAGTTGGGTTTTCAGAGAACTGAGAACGTAAAGCCGCCTCCAAAGTGCACCTCAGCCTCCTCAGGGTGGCTCCTGGATGCCGACAGCACGATCCAAGAGTTCGTTTTTCCCACTCCCACCGACAAACAGACCCTCACAGCAGCCCCAAATCGAAGAACTGGGCTCTTCTGAACACAGAAGCAGGTCCCACAGCCAGCTCCCTGCCACCAAACCAAGCAAAATCTGGGAAGAAAACGGGCAGGTTCCAAGGTCTGAAGGCCGTGGAGGCCCAACCAATAATCCCTTGGGCTGGAGGGAAAGCGACCTTCGCCAGGACAAACAACACCCGGCGTTTCCTGCCAGTGTCTCTCTCGGAGCTTTATTCCAGGATGGCACTTCTGCACTGCTAGGAAGCCACGTTCCCAACTGAGTCATCTCAAGATACTGGGGATTGTCTGCGCTGTTTGTTTGGCTGAGCTCGGGTTGTGTAACCCAGGCCCCATTTCCTGGCTCTTTTTTTTTTTTTAATCACGCACCACCACGGGTTGCTCTGAGCAAACCAACCTCCCGTCAGGGCTGAGCTAAGGTGAGAGAGGCAGAACAGCAACGATTCCTGCAGTTTAGAACATCCCCCCCAAATCCAGAGGTCGACTGGTTTTTTTTTCCTGTTTCCAGCAACTGGGACGAGAGGAGATTCGTCAGCTTTCTAGAGCTCCCTTAACTGTTTGCCAGGTCACGAACAGTAAAAACACACATTGGGAGGTTTCCACTTGAGGCTGCAGCCAAAATGTGCAGTGATAGGAAAAGAAAAAAAAAAAAAAACAAAAAAAACAAAACCAAACAACTGAGTTAAGCCAGAACACAAAGGATCTTAAAATATTTATGCAGGTGCATGGACAGGGATGCACACACACATTTAGTGTGGATGTTAAGCACACACATCCCCTGCAGCTTTACCTGCAGGCATCTATTTACACATGGATTTATCCAAGTGCCAGTTCACATCTGTGAGCTCTCGCCGCTCTCCAATTTCAACATTTCCTACAAATTTTTCCACATCTGAGCTGCCTGGAATGACTCCACTGCCGCTGAAGTGCTGAGCTCCGTGTTCTCATGGAAATGTGAGAGCCAGTGCTGTCCCTCCAGCCCGGCCTGCCGGGAATGGGAATCAGCTGATGGTGCTGGCACACCGGGAATGTGCGTATCCCACACCAGGACTGTCCTTTCCAGGCTCTTCCTTCTTGGACCAGTGCTCCCCCCTCCTGTCTTCAACGCTGACATCTTATCTAGGAGCGGCCACTGCTTCTACACAGCTCCATTTTCAGGGCAGTAAAAGGTTTTAGCGGGGGTATTTTTAAATCAGAGAAGTTCTGCTCCGGCTCCCCGGGAAGCAATTTGCTTTTGAGAAGCTTCTCCCTCACGAGCCTTAACTTCATGCACTTACTGTAATGTTCTCAAAGAGGAGCTAAACAAAATAATCTTCTAGTCTACAGGAAATCAATGCATTTCCTTCCTGATTATTATCTCGTTTCTCAGCCTTTGAGCACTCTGCCAGTGACTCAGGGTCAGTTCTACATTTTGCAACTTCACCCTTCTCATCACAGATCCTCTGAGCAGAGACTGGCTACAGATCACATGGGTTGCAGGAAAAACAGCTGCCTCAGAGAGAAAAAAATAACCCAACTCTGCTTTCTGCTTCGTGTTTGTGCCCTAAGTTTGTGATCTGAGGTTAAGCAGCCTAAAAGCTGGGTCTCTGCAGGCTCCTTGTGATATTTGCCACGGTTTTACTTCCTCTCCTAAGGTTTTCCTCCTGCTGTCACAGCGAGATGGGGTCTGTTCAGGCTGCAGCACTGCTGTGGTCTCTCTGTTCATTAACACGACCCGTGGCACGTTCTGCTCTGGAGTGGGCACACGCACAGCAGCTGTGACACGCCGGTGGCACGTTTTAGCTGAGCTGGCCATGGGCACAGACACTGTGATGGGTCAGCAGGGTGCTCCCAGCGTGACAGACGTGACCTGCAGCCAGGCAGGGATGTCACTGCACACACGCGCGCGGAGTCCCACGGTGGTTTGGTTGGAAAGGGACCTTAAAGATCACCCAGTTCCACCCCCTGCCACGGGCAGGGACACCTTCCACCAAGACCAGGTAGCTCTGAGTCCCATCCAACCTGGTCTGGGACACTTCCAGGGACAGGGAAGCCACAGTTGCTCTGGGCAGAGCCCTGAGGCGATGGTGGAACCGTGAAGGCGACACAACACAAGGAGAGCAACACCCTAAACCAGACACCCCTAAGGAACCACCAGAGACTGCCATGGGCAAGCAAACAACGTCAGCAACGGCTCCAGAACCTGGAGAAGAGCCCCCAGAATGGAGAGGGGGGCTTACCTACGTATCTCCCCCCGGGTTTGATGACGATGGCGCTCCGGCTGCGCGTCTCCTCCTCGGCCTGTGCCATGCTCTGCCTCGCCTTCTGGTAGGAATCATCAGTAGCACACACGGTGATTTTGTCCTGTATGCTCCCAAGGCAATCCAGGTGGATATTGCCATTGCTGAGAAAAAGAAAACAAGCCATGGAAAAGATCCTCCCGGCACCGCAAATGACACCGGGGGACAACGGGGGTTGTGCCAGTTAAATATTAGTGGGGGATGCAGAGGAGCTGAGAGGGAACTCAAATGCTTCCAAAACTCAGGGAGCTCAGGAGGGAACTCAGATGCTTCCCAAAACCACGCTCAGACAGACGAGAAAGACTCTAAAAATGAAGAGCACGTATCGAGCTTTGTCCAGGTTTGTCAGGGAAAAGAAGCCACGGGAGGTAAGTTAAAAAAAAAAAAGGCCGGGTTTTTTTTTTTTTTTTTGGAGGTACCACTCACCTGGATACATACTGCTGGATGCAGTCAAAGCTCCCCTGGGGGCTGTCCTTGCCAATATTTGAAAGGTAAAACGTGAAGGTCCTCACTTCCGTCGGTCGGTCGGGCCTCGGGATCGCGATGTGCTGCTCGGGAGAGGGAAACCATCGTCACGTGGGTGCCCCAGGCTGACACAGAACCCTGCTCTCCTGCAGCCACCGTGCTTTTAGGCATTTTGCCACCCCCTGTGCAAGTAAAGCACCTGGATTTCTGCACAGGAGGGCAAGAGGCTATGAGGAGAATTCAAGTTACCCCACTGTGTGTGGGGCAGCCACAGACAGCACAGAGATGCGAGCAGGGGACTTGCTGCCTCTCTAACAGAGCCCACAATAACCCTGCTCTAGGAATCTGACCCAATTCTATTGATTCAGGCTCAAAACAGACTGTTTATATTCAATTTAGAACACTCAGGGCTTGTTTCTTTCGAATTAGTGAGCCAGCACTAAACATAGCACCAGCCAGGTCACTAGGTAGCACCCTTCTTCTTTTTTAAGATATTATAATTCCATAACAAGATTTCATGGCTCACAGTAGAGTGTGACGCTGCTGCTAAATTAAATATTTAATCAAGCATTAACTGTGCTCCTCAGACAACTCCACAGCCATCCCTGCATTGTTTTTTCCTTCTTCCCCCTCACCCCGAGCCATTCATTTTTCAAAAGGGAAACTCTCTCTCCCCCCTCCCTGCATTTGGAGATCCAACGTAAATGTCAGCCTCTGAGCTCTACTATCACATCAATATTTGATAATTAAGATGGCTCCCAGAAAAACCAGACAGGAGGAACATCAGTTGCAACCTATTTTGGGCTGCACTCAACCGCACGGGTTTATATTTACCCGGATTGCCACATAAATGCGGAAAATACACACTCCCAGCAAAACCATCCCCATCTGACTGCACTCAGGAAGGACTGCTGCCGGGACAGGAGGGGTTTTTGGGTGGTTTCCTTTCGACCTCAGATGTCTCCAGCAGCCTGGAAAGGCGACCCAGAGCATCTGTGCCCCTCTGCTAAACCACAGGGACGTGCTCGGGCTGAGCCCCCGCAGCGTCTCCCTGCCCTCAAACAGAGCTCCCTTCTTCCAAAGGCAAGCCCAGAAACCCCGGGCTGAGCCTTGTTTTATACAGAGGGACGAGTTATTCCCCAGGATCCGGGGCTAAAAATACCTGGGAGCAGATTTGGGGGGGTGTGGGTGCTGCTGGGCCCTCCCTGAGGAGCCCCGTTATCTCCCCTGCCAAACGTGCAGCACCAGCCTCGAGCCCTTTTAATCTGGCCCCGCACCCTCTGCCCCCACCCAGGGCAGGGGAAATAAAATTCCCTTCTGCTTCACGAGAAGAAAGTCCTGGAACCAGCAGGTTGGGGGTATTTTTGCAGATTAATTCAATGGGAACGGGGAGAAAAGGTGAATTCAAGGGGGTCGTTCCCCTTCCGGAGCTCTCGGTCAGGGGATCGAGTTGTGCCCCAAACAATTTGAGTCTGTAAAAGAAAAGCTTTCCTTCCTTGGGAGAGAGGGGAATATTTGCACAGAAAATTCCCACTATTAGAACCTCCTAATTCCAGCTGCTAAGATCTCACACCACTGGCTTTAAAAAAAAATCCCACTGCACAGGAAAGTTAACGGGATTCCCCAGAGGAAGCAAAATAGGAAAGCAACCAAACCATATATTCACACACCACAGGACTTTCTCCTCCCTCCTGATTTTACCATTGGGGGGAAAAAAAAAATAAAAAAAAAATCAGCTGCTCCAGGAGCCCCAATTTGGGCAGTTTTGTAGAGTTTTTGCAGCTTTTTCCGAGGATGGAAAAGGAGGCAGAGTCACTCCAGTACTGAAAAGCGGAGTGTACGAAACCCGGGCCGTTATCTAGGAATTATTTTTAGCTGAAAACAGAAGGTTTCTCAAGCCACCAAATCAGCATGGGGGACTGCTTTGAGGGAGCCCTAATTTTGGTGCTGAGCGCTGCACCAGTAACCAGAGACACTTAAAAATAGCTCGGTGCAGATGTGACTTCTGTTTTCCCCTCTTTCAAGT